GTATGTGTTACACAATGTATAGAAGGGATGGGACAAGATCTCGCAAGACTGTGCTCCTGAGGAAAATGATCTGCTGAGTAAATCCTCTTGAGAAGCTGTGTTACCAAAAAAAAAAACACTGCTACAATGACAGCAAAACGGTAAAAGTAAATAAGCAAAAATGATGAATCGCAAATCAAAATCTAATCTTGTCTCAGTCTCGTGGCCTGAATCTCAACACATACAGTGTGTCTGGTCTCGCAAAAATTGTGTCTCATCCCGTCCTTAATATACAGCTTCATTAAACAGGTGAATTACTTTGATGGAACATGATTAGTTGCTGGGTTATTTTCTCTCAAATGCCTTTAGCGTCATCACTACTCTCATCTCTCTATTTCTTTAAAGTGGTTCAATAAAAAATAAAGGCTAAATCATGTCTGTGATACTAAAAGTCTTTGTTAAACCAGTTCTTGTGCAAAGTTCATAAGAAACACAAACATTTTACTCATCAAAACTGTGATAAATGTGTCAAGTGTGTTGCATAAATGAGTTTCCTTCCTCTGAACAAGCAACACAACTGTAGCTCTGTAACAAAATAATTCAGTAAAATATACCAAAAAATACTCTTGGCGATATATCAGCAGCCCACGATATCGATACTGTATCATCACATTAAACGATACGATATGTTTAATTTCAGTATTTTTGCACACCCCTATTCTCCATGGCGACAGATAAGTTTTATATTATACTGTTGAATTTTAAAAACAAGCAGGAAGAGGCTCTTCTATAGGTGAACTAAGTCAGGTCTGTGGAGATGCAAGTCCTCTCAGACTAATAAAAACATCCATGACTTTATATAACAAAAGAAAAGTTACATACTGGGGGCTTTAAGTAATTTATTCATACATTCCTAGAATATTAAAAGGTACACTATGTAACTTTTCACCATTTGCTTGTCTCCATGGAGATGCTGTTGTTTTGCCAGGAAGAGCACTTTAATTGAATACATGTCTTTGTATGACATTGTCATTCCAGTGACGAGACGACAACACGAAATAATTCAATCAGTGAGGTGAGTAAGGTGAGAGTGAGACTTAAAACTTGACTTAAACTGTATTGATCCACAAGGGACATTATTTGGACACAGTAGCTCAAAAGCCACAATATATAATAATAATAATAAAGAGCAACAATATAAATGGTAATAAAAAATTCTAAACAAGTAGCAAAAATAGCAAGAGACAGGTGTCAAATAAGGCATAATCCTATAAATGTATATGTACAAGTACATATACACCCGGCCCTGGATAAACAGAAGAAAATGGATGGATTTACAAGTATAAAAATATAGTAATACAACTATATCTCTATCTCAGCTACATCCATCTTATTCCGCCCGACCCACTTTTGTCTCTAAACACTCTTAAATCTCTTTTGTTGTGGCATTTCCTGTTTAACGGGAATCCCATTCATGTCAATGGAGAGCTTGGGAAGTGTTTTGTGTCTTAAATCTGACATAAAGTCGGTTCTTTTGTGTCAGATGTTCAGTGTTCATGTGCACCAACATGTCACACTGCATGGAGTCTCTCGGGGCTTTAAACAGCTTTATCGTCCGTATTGAATTTATTTGCTGTCAAGATTGGCAGCCCCGTACAAAATAATACAACCCAAATGATGACAGAAGCGCCCATGGCAACTTCCGGAATAAGATACAAGATACAAGAGGTGGATCATGACGAGGCAGAACCCTGAAATAGGACAGACTCCAGACTCCAGTTTAAACCACTCCAGCCCACTCAAGCTTCATTCAGATCTGAGTGAGATGATAGTATAAGTAAATGTACACTGCGTAACTTTTTATTTGGGGGGCTGTCACCTGCTTGTTTCTATGGAGATATCATTGCTCTGCCTGGAATGTTCCACAGTGTGACATTAAACAGCTCCACTTTACATTTATTCAGTTACAGGTGGTTTCATAGCTCAGAAATACCTAGAAAAACAGACATTCTGACTGTGAGTGGGGTCGCCTCTCCACAGATCTGACCTGTAACTCGGTCTGGTTTGGTCCCCATGAAGATACACTATCATTCAAAAGTTTGGGGTCACCCAGACAATTTTGTGTTTTCCATGAAACGTCACACTGATTTACCTCCATGAGTTGTAAAATGAATAGAAAATATAGTCAAGACATTGACAAGGTTAGAAAATAATGATTTATATTTGAAATAATATTTTTTTTCCCTTCAATCTTTGCTTTTGTCAAAGAATCCTCCATTTGCAGCAATTACAGCACTGCAGACCTTTGACATTCTAGCTGTTAATTTGTTGAGGTAATTTGGGGAAATTTCACTCCACGCTTCTAGAAGCACCTCCCACAAGATGGATTGGCTGGATGGGCACTTCTTGTGTACCGTACGGTCAAGCTGCTCTCACAACAGCTCAATAGGGTTTAGATCTGGAGACTGCGCTGGCCACTCCACTACAGATAGAATACAAGCTGCCTGCTTCTTCTCTAAATAGTTCTTGCACAATTTGGAGGTGTGTTTTGGACATTGTCCTGTTGTAGGATGAAATTGGCTCCAATCAAGCTCTGTTCACAGGGTATGGCGTTGCAAAATGGAGTGATACCCTTCCTTATTCAAAATCCCTTTTACCCTGAACTAATCTCCCCCCTTACCAGCACCAAAGTAACCCCAGACCATCACATTACCCCCACCATGTTTGACAGATGGAGTCAGGCACCAGCATCTTTTCAGTTGTTCTGCGTCTCACATATGTTCTTCTGTGTGATCCAAACACCTCAGACTTTGATTTGTTCACCCATAACACTTTATTCCAATCTCTCTGTCCAATGTCTGTGTTCTTTTACCCATATTAATCTTTTTTTTCTTTTATTGGCTAGTCTCAGATATGGCTTTTTCTTTGCCACTCTGCCCTGAAGTCCAGCATCCTGGAGTCGCCTCTTCACTGTAGGTGTTGACACTGGCATTTTGCAGGTACTATTTAATGAAGCTGCCAGTTGAGGACCTGTGAGGCGTCTATTTCTAAAACTACAGACTCTAATGTACTTATCTTCGTGCTCAGTTGTGTGGCGGGGCCTCCCACTTCTCTTTTTACTTCTCTTTCCATGCGAGAAATTGCCAAGAAACTGAAGATTTCCTATAACTTTTTGTACTACTCCATTCAGAGAACAGCACAAACAGGCTCTAACCAGAGTAAAAAGAGAAGTGGGAGGCCCATTCAAAAATAAGGACATTTCTAAGTGACCGCAAACTTTTGAACCATAGTGTAGAAAGGTTGAATGCCATACTGTGAAACATTCCAGACAAAGCAAAAACATCTAAAAGCCTTTGACGGACCTTCCAGCAGAAAAGTGACAAAATGCAGTTTTAAATATAGAAAGTGGAATGGACATTTGTGCGTTTGAGCTCGTGCTATGATTGTTTTTTAGATCAGTGGGTCCCAGGCTGTGCCTCTGTAGCAGACACATACCTCCACTAAATATAGATATGATGACTGGAGATTCCTAAAGATTTTTTTTCTTCTTAGTCATCCATTTGTAAATATTAAAAGGCACTGTACCTGATTTTTTAAAAAAACTGGCTCATTTTAATGTTTGGCAATGGTCCAAAGTTATTCCTCATTTATCATATGTATTCTGAGCATCTTAATTATTCACCGTGATGAGTTTATAAGCACTTTTCACAATTCTCAGAAACCAGAGCTGAGTTACTGTACGTTGCGAGAGAAAAGCTAACAGCAACTAGCAAGCTAAAGTGCACTTCCTGACTATCAATCAATAAAAGGCTTTATAAAGAAGAAGTTTTGACCTGTTTTTTTTTTGTTTGTTTTTTAGCATTACAGTGCATTTAAGCATAATTAAAATGATGTCTATTTGGAATAAAATACTTGACACACTTGCTACAGCTGATACTTGACACTGGTACAGCTGATAGTGACATCATCACGCTGGGGGTGTTCTACATGTATGCAAATTGGCGGAATGTTCACCAGTTACCATGGAAACACAATGCACACATTAGTAATACGTTTTAAGATCATCTGAAAGCTCAAGAAAAAAAATACTAAATGGATTTAAACAAATTTTCTGAAGTGGGTGATCAAAACAAGCATTCATGATCATGTTTAGGGCTTTGATTTTCAACAAAAAGGAGAGAGTGACAAACTGAAAAACTATCTTGTGACTATAATTTTATGTGAGATAAGGGAGACCACACGTCCCTATTTACCCCAGATAGTCCCAGTGTTGAGCCTGTGTCCACTGTCCCAGCAGATTTATTCAAAACCAGTGATTTGTCCCAGTTTTATACAAGACATGTCCCAGGTGACAAATTTGTTGCCTGCCAATAGTTAAATGAGGCATAAAATACAGAAAAGCTGCTTAAAAATGACCAAAACACAAAGAAAACGTGACTATACTGACCCATGTTTGTCATGAATGGGCCAAGCACAGAACAATTTTACACACTCGTTTCACAATTTTATTATTACCAACCACCCCAAACCGGGAGTGTCCCAGGATTTTGATTTTAAAAATTTGGTCACCCTATGTGTGAGACACTTGTACATACATATCAGCTCTCCTGTTGTAGTTGCATCTAAATGAGCTTTTTCTGGTCAGATTGTATTAAAAATGTCTATGATGTTGGATTTTGACACTAAGATAACCTGTTTATTTGTAAGATAGTTTTTTTGTTTTTTTTTTAATATAGCATATATATGCATATATAACCTCAATTTGTCCTTCTTATCTGAGAGGAAGTCATTAAACAGGCCATTGCGTAGCTCTTCTCTCTTCTCCACAGCTGATAGCCCCCACTGCGCTCAGATGAAAACCTGCTCTTTTGTTATATCACGTACAGCCTGGTGCCTCCTCCTGTGTGTCATGAATACTTAACACAGTAACCCGAGACCTGCTCCTGAGCCCTCCCACTCCCCCTCCAACTCCGACCAATCAGATGCCACCTTCCCCTGGCTCAGTTTGTATATAACCCTGCAAGGCTCTGCTGAGAGACCCAGGAGCCTGAGCTCTCATTCAAACCTCAACCACAACAAGCAGGACTTCAGGAAACACCAACCGGTAGATATGAAGACCAGCCTTGCAGTGTTGATCTTATGCATCGTCCCACTACTCACCACCAGCTTCCCCTTTGAGCGAAAAGGGGGTTCTTCCACATCTGGAGGTGGTAAGGAAAAGCGCGTCCAGTATGCCGCATGGGACGACGTCAATGTTCTCGCGCATGGTCTCCTCCAGCTGGGACAGGGTCTGAAGGAGCACGTGGACAAGACCAAAGTCCAGATCCGTGACATCTCCACCAAACTCAAGATCTTCAACCGCACCGTGACCGAGTTCGGCAAGGAGAGCCAGAAGTTGCAGCAGGAGGGAGAGGCGCTGAAAGCCAGAGCCAGAGGGTTGGAGGACAGAGAAGGGAGGCTGCTGAACGTGACCGTTGAGTTGCGAGATAGGGCCGAGGAGATGCAGCTGGACAGGAGGACGTTGGTGGAGAGGGTCAGCAGACTGGAGGAGAAGGTGGAGGGGCTGGTGCAGACGGAGAGAAATGGGACAGATGCACGCCACATCCAGGTAAGCAAGAAATCTGCACAAAAACAAGTAGTTAACATGACAATTCCCAATAGAAGCTTCAATATAATATTTATGGACTTGTTAGAATGGAGTTCTGTTGATATATTGCATTGAATATGGTGTTATATGTCTTAAAGTAGGCAAAAAACTACAAATAATGTATTCACTTTAGTATCTTCAGCTACTCATTCAAATGCTTTTACAGTTTGGAAATCAGTTAAATCGAATAAGACTCAGAAGATTCGTAGTAAAATATTGTAAAAAGTACTATTAAAAATGGATATTGCAGTAGTATATGATAAGTGGTACTCTGATATCTTGCAATACTGGACTACTACTATTTATAGATTCTATACCTTTATGTTTGGCCAGTGTGTATTTAATATTGTACAGTGAGTTCAAATGTCATGTTTTAGTTGCTGGTTTAAATACAATGCTTATTATAAACTAATGCATGTTATAAAGCTAAAAGAACAGTAAATATGCACGTGTCAGTCAATCAGTATTGCAACCAATTAGTTGTAAAATTTAACGCTAATCAACCCAGCGTTGCCGGTGCCAATATTACATCAGAACGGCTCAGTACAGTGTCCATTATCGAGGCCAGTTTAACACGGGTTCAAATGCCAGAGCGAAATGCACACGGGTCACTGACAAAAGGGGGGCCTAGGGGTGCGGGATAATAGCCCCTGTGGCCGTGACGAACGTGGCCTACGTGCAGTTCTGCGTGACGCATGAAGCTGTGCACCCCGCGCCGCCGCCACCCCGCACCTGTCAAAACACGAACCATACCAAACACTGACTGTGCATTTCGCTGTGCTTTAGTCATGATGCCCTAAATACATAGATGCATAGATCCCTCACTGCAGCCGGGGGCTCCTTTCATTTTGTAGTGAATGGAAAATCCCGCGCTGCGAGTTATGTAACCGAGAGCGCACAAAGACGCATGCGTAAAGGGGGAAAAAGACTACAAAAATGTTAATAGTTTTCGCTTTTTTCTTGCAGTTGATGCTAGAGGCTCAGAACAAACGTATTGATGATTTGATGGAGCGGATAAGACTTCAACAGGAAAAGCTTGACAAGCAAAACGTGCGCATCAGAACGCTGCAGAGCCAGGTAAGAAAAAAAACAAAAAAAAAAAAAAACAAAAAAAACGTGTTAACAATGTAGCTTCGAGGCACTTTGTTTCATGATTTGGTTCTAACGGTGAATTAATAACCTGTTTTAGATACAACAGTCCAGACAGAGAGGTGATGTCCCGCGGAGCCCGAGCCCAGACGCGGTGGTGGAGCAGCGGGATTCTCCGGCAGCCGGTAAGGGCCAAATCCACTCCGTTCTTTAAACCGCACGCTAAAAGTGGGAGCCATCTGTTTAGCATAAAGAGAAGGCAAGGAGATTAAAGCTTTTAAGCAATTAAAAACAAGGAATCGATTAGAGGAAGCGCTGCGGGAAGTCTCACATGAACTTTAATTAAATTGGTGGATTAATGAAATAAACGATTAGCTTGAGCAGAGGCGAAACAACGAGGCGTAGAAAAAGGGCAAAGGGTTGGGCACCGTGAAAAGGGGGCCACATATATTAAATAAAAATAAAACATAAAACTTGAATAACCTACAATAATACGAATATTACTAGTTAGGTTTAATTAAATAAAAATATGGACCAAGCACCAAGAGTATTGTAAGCTGCTCAAAGGTTAAAAGTAGCGCGCTATTAAAGTGTATCCAATATAGTACATAAACTTCTGTTCCAATTGAAATGCAAGGGCCTTGGTCATTTTTATGCAAGCATTTTAAGTACAAATATCACTAGAAAGGCCTAGTTAGAAATAAAAGTATGGAATAAAAGCTAAGAGTATTATAATTTGCTATTTGGTTAAACGAAGTGCACTATAAACACTATTAGTATTTTGTGTAGTATTTGTATAAACTTCTGTTCAAATACAAATAAATTATGTAAGTATCTCTAGTAGGTTATTCCTCCAAAAAGTAAGTGAAAGTGTACTCTGTCTCTCTAGTTACAAAATGTTAGTCAGCTGAATCCAAAAGTCCACGTTCTAGCTACTAAAGCAGAAAATCTGTAGAGTTCAACTAGGCTCAGAGAAGAAGTAGGGGAAAGGTGAACGCGCCCCGACTTGACTTGGCACCGAAAAGCACCGCAACACTTCTCTATTGTGACATCAGCTGGATAGCAGGGAGAAAAACACTAATTTCACTGGACAATTTTCAACTGGGGGAAAGTTCAGCGGTCTCGCAAGGGTCAGAAAGCTCGGCGGATTACTGGAGGGGTGGGGTGTGGAGGGGCGTGTGGGAGGTCTGGCTTTGAGAAAAATCTACAAGGAAAAAAAAAAGTGAAAAGAGGTCAAATTTAAGGAAAAAACAAAGCTATATTTATCCACGACCTTTATACAGACTTCCATAACTCCGCCCACTCCCCTGTAAAACAAACTGGAGTGAATGAGATTACCTTTGGCCCACTTTGGCATCCGCTGGTTCACGGTGGATCAAACACACTCCCCCGCTCGCCCCTCTACACACTTTCATGTACTTCCTCACGTACTAAGAGTCATAGTATGGAAAAAGTGTGCGAAAGTTCAGGAGAGCCCAGACGCAGTACACAGCCTTTGAAGCAACAAGTGGTATTACTACTACTACTACAGAATCCTATAGAAGTACACATGACCAAATGAACTGGCTTGGGGCGATGGAAAAAATAATTGATGTGACTTGATGTTATCGCTCCAAAAATATGTAGTAGGGTTAGATAATTAAAAAAATGAAAAAGCCTGACACGTTTCAACAAGTGCGTAATTAAGAAATAATGATATAATTATAAAATCTTGACACATTTTTTAGCACTTAAACTGGTATGTTAAACAGATTACAAGAATAAAATTGTAAGGGGCCAAGAGTTTGTAAAATTCTTCTTTTTTTTTTTTTTTTTTTTTTTATTCATACACAATACACAATTATTGGAACATCATGTGGTCTTTTTTTAAAATTGTGTGTGAATTAAATTACAATATTTAAATTTTTATCACTATGACATGAAAGGGTTTTTTAAAATTATTTTTTATATTTGCTCTTTTATTTTTTTATTATTTAGGCTAATTTATGTTTTTTGGGGGGGTCTTTTTTGTTGTTGTTGTTGTTGGGCTCTTATTCATAAACTTTTGGGATGCCATTATCAATGCTCCTTCAGTGGCCAAACGCGAAAACAACTCACAATTGCCACTTCTCAAATGTCACCCTTGTTTTGCCATGAGCCCCACCCCCCCCCCCACCCTCCATACCACCCCACCCCCACCCTCCAGCCACACAGAGCCCATGCACCGTCCATGCAGCGTCCATGCAGCCTCCATGCGCTCCCACCTCACCGGGGGCTAACTGCGCACGTGAGAGACGAGTGACAAGTCAAAGCGAGGGTGGGTGGGGGTTGCGGTGTGGTATGGCCCGTGAGGAATGCGTGGGCCTGGTTGGTAGTTGGTAATTCAATCGGCGTAAAAAAGACTCGAGAGACAGAGAGAGGGAGTGAGCTTGGGAACTGGGACAGAGGTCGAGACACAAATTTCGAAGCATTGTTAAGACTACGGCGATATCAAGGCACGCGCTCCTATCTGCAGACTTCAACTCCGGAGTGATAAGACTTAAGTTTGTAAACAAGGTGCTGTGGAGGTCTGAGTCAACCTTTCACCTGGTTTGGAAGTGTAGTGACCTTCTTAGAAAGACGAGGAGGCCGGTGGAAAAAGCGGAAAACATAATTCCCAAGTGTAGAGAAGAAGAAGGAAGATGATGGAGAAACAATTAAGCATCTGTTGACAATGGATACACGCCAAAAAACAGTATCAAATAAGAAGGAAATCAATACGGCATTATCCGGAGTTGTTGTTGACACTGAAATCCGGGTTAAATCAGGACAAAAGTCAAGAAAAAATTGGATACAAAAAAGTTAGGAGTTTCTGTGCTCAGTGCTTTCTCCGAGCTTTCTCATTAACAAACATGTTTCTTTTTTTTTCTGTTACAGATACTGCTTCAGATTGTCATGAGCTGTTCTTAAGAGGAGAGACCACCAGTGGAGTCTACACCGTTCAGCCGTTCAACTCCGAGCCCTTCCAGGTGTACTGCGAAATGACTCCAGGTGAGTTCACAGTTGGAACATTTGATACTGAGAACAGACCAGTGTATTGTGATGTTACCATGTTACCCAAAGTGTACAGAGAATCAAACAAAAGACATTTTAAACTTGTTATTTTGAGTTGTGAAGTACCTGAAAGAACTATTAAAAGACAAAAACAACAAGCTTAGACCAGTGTCAACTCACGATGCAACAGGCAATAGTCCTTCACCTTAAACAGTCACGATACTAAAACAGTTTCGATTATGATGCTATGAAATTTACTCAATACCCAAAATCAAATGTAATTTTCATACACAAAATAATAGGTCTTGTATTTGTTCTGATAAAGCTCAAAATGACACCAAAACTGTTCAGGAAAACTCCAATTTTTCGATTTTTAAGATTTTCGATACTTTCAACAATCTTACTTGTATGTGTTTGTAACATTGTAAAAACATATGATTCAATTGTAGTACTTTTTGCTAATAAAAACTTCTCTTCTCTCGCAGCTGGCGGTTGGACAGTGATCCAGAGACGTCAGGACGGTTCTGTGGATTTCCATCAGCCCTGGGAGGCCTACGAGCGCGGATTTGGCAACCTCAACGGTAAATACGCTTAAATTGGGCTTTTAAGTGTACGCTCTAACGGGGCTCAGATTAGTCATGTGCCATGGTACCAAACAAGGTCACAAACAGCACCTGATAAGATAAGACAGTTTTATATATATAGACTGTTTATGTGGATAATTCTGACGGAGATGCAGAAGACTCAATATCTTAGAGCTTGCATTTCAGACTTCAGAAAATGAAAACAAAGAGTATGAAAACAGACCGACCATTTCAATACATTATAATGTTTGGGGTTAGAAAAATGGAGCAGAGGGTTTTAGAGCTGTTCATTCACACAAAACAAATGTTAGACTTGGCTCTGTGGTTCAGATGGTGTAGGGTGACCAGAATTTAAAAATAAAAAACTGGGACATCCCTGTTTTTTTTGTGGTTGGTAATAATACAATTGTGAAATGAGTGCGACTCATCCATGAGTCAGAATAGTCACATTTTCTTTGTGTTTTGGTCATTTTTATGGTCATTTTTAACCTAACTAAATTACAATATATTCCTCCGGTGTAAAAAAGCAAAAACAAACTTCATCATTGTTTATCTTGCTCAATGTGGCAAACAGAAATCCTTGAAAATACGTTTTGACTTTCCAGCGTTATAATGTCAATTTTCTATCATAAATTTGAATCTAACCCAAGTTTCCTCTTTGCCTCTTCAGGTGAATTCTGGTTGGGCTTGGAGAAAATGCACTCAATTTCCAAAGACGGTGGCTACGTTTTGAACATTGCCATGTCCGACTGGAACGGCGACCTCGCTAGCGTGCGCCTCCCCTTCACTCTCGGTGGACCCAGCTCCAAATACGCCCTGTATGTCAAGAAAGAGGGTCCCTTCAGCCCCCTGGAGAGCTCCCTGGGCCCCGACGCCAACGCCCTCCCTTTCTCCACCTTCGACCAGGACAACGACCTGAAGAGTGACGCCAACTGCGCCATGAACCTCTCCGGTGAGTTGAGCTGAAATTTCTCTCTCTATCCATATATTTTGTATTTTAGCCATGTTTGGTCTAACTTCATTTCTTTTGGTTTTCCAGGAGGTTGGTGGTTCAGCAGTTGTGGCCAGTCTAACCTGAACGGACGCTATTTCCAGAGTCCACCCCCCAAACAGCGGCACCAGAGAAAACAGGGAATTTTCTGGAAAACCTGGCGCGGACGCTACTACCCTCTCCGATCGACCTCCATCATGATGGCGCCCGCCGAGATACAAGAGAACCGGAGTCGTGAATCATGAACAGAATGGACTAAATGACTAAATCTGGTTGGGGCTGGTTTGTTGGGACTTCGAAAGCACTGAAACGCGAGTCTTAAGGGGCCACGTGTGAAGCAGCTGGAACAAGATCAAACCTGCTCACTCCGCTTCCAGCCGAGACAAGTCAAGTCCCGTCTCTGCACAGAATGATGGGAGATAATGTTTCATCAGATTTTGAATTTTAAATGCAATTGAATTTGTCATAGTGACTCAAATTTAGAATGTTGTTTTTTCAGTGTTCAATAATTTCATTCTGAATTTCAGTGGATTTTTTATTTTTATTTTTTTCCTGTTAAAAATATCATCAATCAATCATCAATATCATTTCATTATACATTTAAGTTACTGGACTTTTCAGCATGTTTAAAATAATAATAATAATAATAATAATCATAATAAAAATAATACTATAAAAAAAAAATCACCTTTTAAATATTCAGCCTAAATATTTTTAGTCCTTAAATTCAAGAGTGTAAAATTTGCACTGAAAAAGATCCAAGATGCAGCAAAGATCAGTATGTGCAGAATATATTAAAGGTGATTTTTTTTTAGTATGAATTTTTAAACATTGAAATGAATAGTCAAATAATACAAAAATTTTCAAAGTGAGAAATTCAACAGCATTTACATTTCAAAATCTGCCTGAACAAATTCTCTTTCGGACAGAATGGTGTTGAATTTTCCGCACAATAAGCTCTGAATATACAAGAGCTGCTCGAACTCTTTTGTATGTAGCATTAAGTGAATGTGACCAAATGGACCTGTACAAACGCAAACGACTGAAAATACAGCCTTTTTTTTTTTTCGATCTGTAACTTCAAATCGAACTTTCTTCGCTGCCTCTAAGCTCCAGTGGAGATTTGATGTTTCTGAGTCATATTGACTGTAACGATGCCAGGCGTTGTTTTACATGATGATGTTATGAATGTGCTCTGACTGTTCATTTGAGAGTTTTATTGTTGTAGAAATGTTACTTTTACTTATTTAAATCAGTTTATATATTTGTGGTGCTGTCTACTTGTAATTTATACTGTCCGTGTTGTGATGATGTAAGATGTTTTTTTATAAAGAGATTATAACCATTTTGGCCTCGATGTGCCAATAAAATTGATTGAAACTATTTTTGGTGTTTGTTGCATTTCATGGAACATTATAAGAAGCAGATATGTGGTTTATTCATAGACTGTAGAAACAAGTGGACTAAGAGAGTGTCCGGCTCCAGTCAAATGAAGCTCACGGAGGCCTGCAGTCATAGGAGTCGAGTTTCAGATTAGGGATGGGAATTTATTTACAGGCAAAACAGCAAAATAATAACACCAGGACCATGTAGAGCAGGATAATACGAACATTTTAAGACTAAAATGACGAGGCTCACAGCAGCAGTTACACAGAGAGGTGTGACAGTTTTTCAATGTAAAGTGAACTGGAGCCAGAGTTGATGGAGCCAGACGCACACCCATGAACACTTCCTGTTTGGAACGCAGCAGCTAGAAGTTTAGCTATGTCCAGTTACATATCCACTCTATGGGCAGTGTTGGGAAGATTACTTTTAAAATGTATTCCCCTACAGATTACAGATTACATACCCCAAAATGTAGTTTGTAACATAATCCATTAAATTACTTAAAGTGAGTAACGTAATCTGAATATTTTGGATTACTTGGTTTGTTGTAAAGAAGCAAAGACCAGGATATTGTAACATAAGAATTTTTGTCTGCTAAAAGAAAAGAAAAAAGCCCAGACTTTACTGAACCAAATTAAAATTATTATTGATAGAAGACGAAGAGACACGTCCACACAGCAGGATATAGTCCTGGTAAATCCTGGTAAATCCCAGTTAGTCCTGGTTTAGTCCTGGTTTAGACCTGGTTTAGTCCTGGTTCAGACCTGGTTTAGTCCTGGTTTCAGACCTGGTTTAGACCTGGTTTTAGTCCTGGTTTAGACCTGGTTTAGTCTGGTTTAGTCCTGGTTTAAGACCTGGTTTAGTCCTGGTTTAGACCTGGTTTAGTCCTGATTCAGACCTGGTTTAGTCCTGGTTTAGACCTGGTTTAGTCCTGGTTTAGACCTGGTTTAGTCCTGGTTTAGACCTGGTTTAGTCCTGGTTTAGACCTGGTTTAGTCCTGATTCAGACCTGGTTTAGTCTTGGTTTAGACCTGGTTTAGTCCTGGTTTAGACCTGGTTTAGTCCTGGTTCAGTTCAGACCTGGTTTAGTCCTGGTTTAGTTTCCAGCAATGAGTGGAATGAGTGGAATTCCCCCCCCCCCCCCCCCCCCCCCCCTTTTTACATTTAGTTTTTGTAAATATTCAGATATCGTCTGCTATACACAGTATGTTCATTTGTTTATTTATTTGGATCCTCTTTGGCTGTCACCAAATTGACAGCTCTTCTACTTTTCTTTCTTATTCAGAAATACTAATAAAAAAGCATTATGCATTTAAAACACTATTTCACAGATAACACCATCCTCGTATTCTTCCAAAAATACTTCCAATATTTCTTTCAGAGGCAGATTTTGTAGAAGCTTCAGTAAAAGTTGGTGGCAGTTTAATATAATCAAGATGGAAAATAACTAGTGTCATGAAAAAACTACTATTTTCTTCATTATTTGTCTCATGTCTAATGAAAAAACAGATAACGATTTGTTTTTTCAGTTTCAATTTTGTGTTTAAATGAAAAATGGACAAAACGGATAACAGCCGTTTCCTCTTTACGTGACTTAAACTGTGATGCCAGACTGAACCAGAACTGAACCAGAACTAAACCAGGACTGAGACTGGGACTGAGACCGGGACCAGACCTGGACTAGACCAGGACTGAGACCAGGAACAGGATCAGAACTGAGACTGGGACTGAGACTGGGACCACACCAGGACCGAGACCGGGACCAAGACCAGATAGGGACGGAAACAGGGACCAGACCGGGACTGAGACCGGGACCAGACCAGTTTAGTCCTGGTTCAGTCCTGGTTCAGTCCAGCATCTCAGTTTAATTCACGTAAATGGGAAACGTCCATTATCTGTTTTTTTCCCCCCATTATTCATTAATTTAAACTAATCGTTATCTGTTTTTTCATTTTGATTTTGGAGACAAATAATGAAAAACACAGTTGTTTTTTTTTCATTTTCTTTGGTTTTATATTGAAAAACAAATGAACAAATGATACACAGATTGTCAATATACTTTTACGTTATGAGTCGACTCACAGTAGTCTTTATTTAGTATTTTTTAAACCTGATTATATTAACTATTTTTCAGAGTCCGAGGCCATCAGCTTCACAGAACAACGGGCCAGACAAAAACACAGATATAACGGGAGAGACGAGAACAAAATATTCAACCACAAAGGAAAAAGTGATGCAACCAAGTTATTAAACAAATAATATACATTTCAAGTAATAAAGTAGAAGACGCACACACCACGTAGATATGACACAAATTAATTAAGGTTAGGATTAATTGCAATTGAATCAAAAGCACAGTTTGAGTGGTGACAGTTGGCAAAGGCAGTTAAAGCTGTTAAGTAACATTCAACAAAGAGGAGTGTGTTAAAACTGCAAAACACACGACTCCTCCTCGTTGTTTAATGTGTTTATAATCTGAAAACTGAAATGTCTCACTTGTGATTGTGAAGAACTTGTCCACTGCTTATAAATGTCTCAAATATCAGTTACGTCAGTGTTTTAAACAAACCTAGTCCCTACATTCTACTCCGAGCACTTAAGCAGTTGAATACTCATTGCTATGGCGTTGTCATGGCGATGGCCACAGAGCAGAGATACAGAACAGTGATCTGGCGGTCGCTGGACTACTTTTGCGTTATGCAGTATGGCCGGGTTTCAGATGACATCACAGTATTCTACAGGATCAATATCAGTGTATACAGACGGGGGCAACTGTAATAAATCTTCTTAAAATGCAAAAGGATGTTGTAATAAAATGAGTTCTTGGGTTTAGTCAATAACTGAAAATACCAGGTTCAACATTTTGGATATTTCAGTAGTACAATGTAATATGAACAGGGAAATCTGACTCTTGCCTCCATTTGAGAAGTGTGAAGAATCCCTCAGTCGTCCAGGTAGAATCTACGGTGAGGAGAAAATTCAGTTTGTCGACTGGACAAAAGTTGAAGACGTTTCTCAGCTCATCCAAGCTGCTTCTTCAGTTCTGGTCAGACACTGGTGGACACTTCCTTATATCTGTCTGCAAGGACGAGCTAACTACACTGAAACTAACACACACACTTGTTTACAGTTTGTGTTTGTTAGTTCGGTCTATTGACCTGTACAGGGTGTGGGGTTCAATTAGCAGAACAATTCATGGTCATAATGGAGCTTCTACACCTCTGGACCTGACCTGATACACCTGTTGTTCACTTGTTTGTTTTGATTTAGGTTTGAGGATGGAGTTGGAAATAGGAGATAGATGGTGTCTGAGTCTCCATTTCTGTTTAGAGAAGGATTCTCATTCTTAATAAAAATAACTTCTTTCACTCTCCTCTCAAACCAATTCTTTTCTCTGGCTAAAATCTGTACCTCACTGTCCTCAAATGAGTGGCCCGTGGTTTTTAAGTGGAGATGAACAGCAGACTGAGGTCCACTGCTGCTCTCTCGTCTGTGTTGGTTCATCCTCTTGTGAAGTGACTGTTTAGTTTCTCCATTGTAGCTCACTGCAGTCTTCACTGCACAGAATGAAGTAGACCAGATTGCTTTGTGGCTCAGTGTTTTGTCCTTTGGGTTTTGTCCTTTGGGTGGATTGTGTTAGTTTCACAGTAGTTTCAGTGTAGTTAGCTCGTCCCTGCAGACAGATATAAGGAAGTGTCCACCAGAGTCTGACCAGAACTGAAGAAGCAGCTTGGATGAGCTGAGAAACGTCTTCAACCAAACTAACTTTTGTCCAGTCGACAAACTGAATTTTCTCCTCGCCTCATTTGAGAACATGACATAATCACACTGTAGAATCTGGAAATTATCATTAACTCACAGTAGTCAGCTATTGGAATTCTCTCTCAGCGTGGTATAAAATAATATTCTTGGGTTGTGTAAGTGTGTAAAATGTAGTTTACACTTCTCTAAACCTGTTCTGAAATGCTCTGGATTCTTGGGTTTTATTAGCAGTTCATCGTTCAGTCTTTTCTTTATATCTCTTGTTTAAATGCTTCTTAAAACATGCAGTGTCAGCAGAATGTTTTTTGTTTTTTTTTGTTCTGTCTGATGATCTGATATGAGCTGCCATGTGGTGTGTTTATTTGCACACCAAACATCTGATCGTTATCTGGATCTGGAGTAATGACACTGATGAAATGTTCTGTAAACGGGGCAGGTTTTTACAGAGTTCACAAAAACATTATGCAAAATAGGAAAACTCATGTGAAAAAGATTATTTCAATGAGCTGTAAACGGTAAAGTCCTCGGATTTGTGTCTGATCATGGTCCCTGTGGTTTCTCACATCACACTGTGCAGTTTGAGCCTCATGAAATCATGAGAAAGGTCCAGAAATAAACCAGGATCTCAACTGGATCTCAACCGGATCTCAACTGGATCTCAACTAGCTCATATAATCCTGAGTTAGTCTTGGTTTTACTATAGTCCTGGTCCAGTCCTGGTCTCACAAATAGTCCTTGGTTCAGTTCTGGTCCAGTCTTGGTTCAGTCTTGGTTCCATCCTGGTCCAGTCCTGGTCTCACTATAGTCCTGGTCCAGTCCTGGTCTCACTGTAGTCCTGGGTCAGTCCTGGTCCAGTCCTGGTTCCAGTCCTAGTCCGGTCCTGGTTCAGTCCTGGTTCAGTCCTGGTTCAGTCATTGTTCCATCCTGGTCCAGACCTGGTCTCACTATAGTCCTGGTCCAGTCCTGGTCCGGTCCTGGTTCGGTCCTGGTCCAGTGCTGGTTCAGTCCTGGTCTCACTATAGTCCTGGTTCAGTCCTGGTTCAGTCCTGGTCTAGTCCTGGTTCAATCCTGGTTCAGTCGTGGTTCAGCCTGGTCTCACTATAGTCCTGGTCCGGTCCTGGTTCGGTCCTGGTCCGGTCCTGGTTCGGTCCTGGTTTAGTCCTGGTTCAGTCCTGGTTCAGTCCTGGTTCGGTCCTGGTCCGGTCCTGGTTTGGTCCTGGTTCGGTCCTGGTCCAG